AGATCGAGGGCGAGAAGTCAAGGAAGGAGCAGGTCGAGGGCGAGAAGTCAAGGAAGGAGCAGGTCGAGGGAAGTCAAGGAAGGGGCAGGTCGAGGCGAGGAAGGTCGAGGGAGGCGCAGGTCGAGGGCGAGGAAGGTCGAGGGAGGCGCAGGTGCAGGTAGAGGGCGAGGGAAAGTCAAGAGAGGTGCAAGGCGAGAGGTCAAGGAAGGAGCAGGTCGAGGGCGAGGAAAGGTCAAGCAAGGAGCAGGTCGAAGGAAGGTCAAGGGAGGCGCAGGTCGAGGGCGAGAGGTCAAGCAAGGAGCAGGTCGAAGGAAGGTCAAGGGAGGCGCAGGTCGAGGGCGAGGGAAGGACAAGCGAGCGACGAGGGAGAGGCTACCGTCTGCGCTGACACTGACTGATGGACTATTAAATGCAACATCGCCGCCCCTGAATTTTTATCACTCTTATGGTCCCTATTGTGCAGGCTGTCCACAGGGCGATCTCAGGGTGCGTGATGTCCGCCGCGCACACTGGCTGACCTTCTAAGCGCCCGTTTCAAAAGGCGTGAATCTGACTGGAGGCGGACGTTCCTGCTTGGCCGTGAAGACATTGGCTGTCCTGCGCCCGGAGGATTCAAGCAGACATATTATGGAAATCTGCCTCGCTGGCTGCCCGGACGTCTATTTCGCGGACGTGTACACAACCTCAGCGCCTCAGGAGGAGCAATGAACTTCCTTTACGTACGCGCATCACCTCCAGAAGCTCCTGTGCCATGCCATGACATACCATCTGTAGCGTGTTTTATGTCCTTCGCTCCTCTGCGAATACATCAAACAATTATGTCTTCATTCTCGATACCAGATGTTATGCCCTATGTTATACCCTTGACAGCTTGATATTCGTTTCATTCCCAACGACAAATAGCAGTTTCGTTTTTCAGTATGATTCTGCATGCGTTCCAAGTGGCAATAGAAGTTCAATTCAGCGTTCCGAATACAACTAATGATTATAAATGCTTTGTCCTGTGATTATAACGTTCCGTCTCTTCTTGCACAAAAGCCTCGTGTGCAGAGTTCATTAAAGAGTATTGCTACGCAGTTAATACGACCATTCTGCCGCTATATTAAACGCACTTATGATACAGCGTGTGCACAATACATTTGCACACATATGTCCAGGTATAATGTGTATTCAACTGCACCGTCCCGCCATACTATAGCTGTCCGACAGCCTTTGTTATAAACTGAATACAAATAAACATTAGAATCGTAAAATTGTATATTTGGCTCTGTCATATTTGCCATCATATTTTTTTGAATTGTAAGACGGTTGCTTATTATTCTGTTAGCATTATTCTTTTCCCATGAAGAATTTATGATCATGAATTCACTTGACTGGTTTACAGCGACGTGTAAGTACTTGCGCAAGAAATTCAACGCAGCTGAACCACTACAAATGAATGCGTCTGATTAACGTACAATACAATAATAGCAAGATGAGGTGATGGATGAATCTTTATAAGTGAATCTTAAAAGGAAAGAGAGATCTTGAAGGACTGTGCCGGATCTTCTTAGCATATATTTATCAATCGTTGCAAAAATTCATCCTCGGAGACAGAGGAAGGTAAAATGGTCGTAAAATATGAATAAAAATCGGAATATTTATGAGTTGACAGAACCCGCAAACAAGTTGTAGGTTCAATTTACTTTTTTTTATTATTATGTAAATCCGGCATTGAAGATATGGAATCAAATCTAACAACTGAATTCTGTCTCTCTAAAATAACCAAGTGAATAAAATTAACATTCATGTTGACGTCAAGATCTCAAATGAGCTCAGACCGATTCTCTCTCTCCTTCGAACTAGAAGCTGAAAGGGGAAGGGGAGGGGAAGGAAGGGGAGAGGGGAGAGGGGAAGGGGAGAGGGGAAGGGGGAGAGGGAAGGGGAGGGGAAGGGAGAGAGGGGAAGGGGGGGAAGGGATGAGAAGGGGGAGAAGGGAAGGAGGGAGAGGAAGGGGGAGGGGAGGGAGAGAGGAAGAGGGAGGGGAAGAGGAGAGGGGGAATGGGGAGGGGGCAGAGTCCCTCCCAAACGAGTCTCTCAGAAAAATATAATCGTCTTCGAAGAGCAAGAATCCAACATCCAACAAGTGAGCCTCGACCGGCCGCTGCGTCCCTGGTTCCTCGCCTTATTAACATTTTCCCTGCATAAAATTCTAATGTGGTTTTTGTACGTGCGATATGTTGAGGCCGCGTGTCAACCCTCCTCCACTCCGACCGCTGACGGCCCCTCTCGCTCGCCGCATCCATATGCATAATACAACTTTCCAATGTATTGTTCGAGTTCTGTTATGTGGAATTTTGATTTTTTCTTCTCTCTACCCTTTTTAAGCCTTTCTCTTTCGTTGTCTTTCGGGAAACTAAGTGGATATTTATTACTCTTGACTCTCTCGACGATGGAATGGCTGATGCGACATCACCTTCCACATATTTAAAAGAAGATTTGACGACCTTGCTGCCGACGA